TATGTCAAAAGCGTGAATGGCATTCTTTGGACATGTGTCCAAGGTATCCCCATACCAAATTTCAGGTCATTCAGATTTAATATGAGGGCACAGGAGCCAAAAATGTACATTTTTGGTCCGAAAATAGCCAAAAAGCCTTATTTTTCCCCAATTTTAAAGTGGTGTATGTCAAAAGCTTGAATGACTTTTGGAGACATATGTCCAAGGTATCCCCATACCAAATTTCAGGTCATTTGGTTTTAGTACCTGGGAACCAGATCTCAAAACGTATATTTTTTGCATGAAAATGGCCAAAAAAAACAAACAATTTTTCAAAAAAATGAAAAAAAAAATTCGTCGGGGTATTTGCCCACTCTACCTTCATGCCAAATTTCGTGTTATTTGGCCTAAAAATGGCAGAGATGAATCCATTTAAAGAAATGGCAGGAGGAGAAGAAGGAGAAACATGAGGGAACACAATATGTCTTCACCACTTTGTGGTGAAGCCATAACTAAGTTTAAGTTTGTTCCACCATCTTCTGAAACAGGACCCACTCAACCCACCTCCATGGTCCCACATGTTTGGAACATAGGATGTCGGAACATAGGGCCATCCCTAATACCCCCGTCACATTGTCGACGAGCTTCGGCCGTATTTGTCAATCCGGCCAATGAATCTTCCGGTAAACAAGCCATTCAATGTCAACAAAGTAGACAGAGGTAAAAAGACCCATACAATATAAACTTCAACAAGTAATTTAATATCTATCAAATGACGTTCTTTTGGGCACCCTAAGAAAAAAGTCAACCTCATTCCAGGATGAACAAGTGTAAAGGTCAATTTATTATACATTAATCTGAAATAAGGCCACACACCTCCTAAAGGGACAAGAGTAAAGAATTTCATGTGCGTTCAATCAGTTGAGGTCAAAATCTAGGCATTTGGCCTTATATAGTTAAAACCTCGTCATCTTTTTAAAGTGGTTTTGTTTATTAATGAATGTTGATTTAACAAAAGGACAAAAAGGACGATTTTGTCTATTTTTATCCTTTCTCGTAAACATAACTTTAACAATCAATGGGACAAAGCAATCTGAAATAAATTTCACAGGTGCTGAATGAATAATAACTTCACAGGAGCTCGGCCGAGGCTCGTAGAACCTTCGTCCGACACTGGCACGAAGCTCGCTCGAAGCACGCACGATTTTAAAAACTTTGCGCAAGTCGGGCGAGGTACGGAAGAGGGTCGTCCGAATATTTCGCGAAGCTCGTGCGAGGGTCGACCGTATTCAGCGACCGTCGCCCGATTTTCAAAGACGAAATACTAATCTCCAAGCAGATCTTTTGGTGGCAAGACAGTATCCATTGGCCAGAGGAGT